CTATGCTCCCCGTCTTAAGGGTGTGATTATATATATATATATATATATATATATACGCAGTACAGAAACTAACTAGGGCTACATTCCAAAACTTCCTCTCCTAGAAAAATTTTACTCGAAATATATAGTACACGTAACATATACAATAGCATATAGAGTAAAATTTTCCTCGGAGAGGAAGTTTTGGAACGTAGCTCAGGTAATTATAGGAACCGCGCAAACCATGCCGTTTACTTCTTTTCTCCTTTGTTTCTTGTAGCGTGGTAAGCGATATGGACCAATGGTAAATTCACATTACTAAGAAAAATTCACTTTTTAATAGAATTATAATTGATTTAAATGCAATTATTAAGTAAATCCGTTGAAAAAAATAAGAGTATTGATGAAATGTGCATAGAAATAAGTTAATATATTTAAAAAAATTCATATTAAAGTTTATTTATCACTAGCCCGTACCGCTTACCGCGCTACATGTAAGGATGATGTCCCATGCAATGGATCGTGCGTAAGCGAATTCGCGTATCGCCACAGAATCATTCTCTTAGATTTGTTTGCAAATTTCGCAAACAGATCCGTTAAGAGAATGATTCTGTGATTGGCGATACGCAAATCCGCTTACGCAAGATTGGCTGCATGTGACATCACCATAATAGAAGAAAAAAGAAGCAAGTGATACGGCTTGCGCGATTCCTATAGTTACCTAGTTAGTTTCTTTACCGCGTACCACGTACCACGATAAATGTAATCGCACCCTGAGGATGCCGTCACATGCAGCATAACTTGTGTAAATATAACTTTCACCGACCAATTATATCGTTTCACTTGAACATCAGTTTCCGCCTAGTTATTTTTATGTTTAACGCTATTTCGGATGCTTCCGATAACTCAAGTTTGAGTTAGTTCCACTAGGACCGAAAAAATGATAGCCTTTAAAATAATATAACCACCTAGTACTTTCATGATTCATGACAACTCAACGCTGTCTTGTATGCCATGAGTTGAGTTAGTTAACTTATTTATGTTGTATGTATTTACTTAACTTATTTATTTTTACTCAATTTCTTCCCCTCTAGATGGGCATCACCTCGAATTGAGCATTACAGAAATTTACTTAATTACAAACAGAACAATGTTTACTACAGATAAATTTGTTGAAGAAACAAACAATGTTGGGTATGTATATTTTTCTTAAATATATACATAATTATATGAAAGCAGGAATAAAAATAACATTATTACTTTTACCATTTTTTTCTAATAACGATTTGGTAATTTACAAATTTTTATGACAATAACTAACTTTAAAGTTGGAAGAAGATAATTTTCGAAAATTAATTTATCATCATCATACATTTATTGGAAAAAATAACTCATTACTTGGAATGAATTAAAGATAAAAGTAACAACTCGACGCATTAAAAATAATAAGTTATTTTTTTTTAAATAAATAATGCATAGTGGTGACAAGTTACTTTTCAAAAGTGATTTTTCTAATCTTAGTTTTTGTAACGTTATTGTCAAATCGTTATTATAGATAGTATAAATAAAAATGATGACAGTTCTTTTTCTTGTATACAAGTTTTAATTGTCTATTCAAATAGTAACATTTTTTTAAATTTAGATAATTGCAGAGTTCAATGGACTGATGACATGACAAAATTATTGTTAGCAGAAATATAAAAAAAACATAGAAATCTCTACAAATTTTTATGGAAAATTGAACAAAAATGTATGGAAAAATATTGTTATCTATGAACATCCATGAATATAACTGACTTATATGACTTATAATTTGACGGCTGACAATTATTATATTAAATGAACCAGTATGAAAATACCTTGTACATCCATCTCTTATCTAGAAATATTTAATTACAGTTAAATATTAAATAAATATTAAATAAATATTAAAAGTCAAGATATTAAAATAATAATTTAAACATAGAATAATCTAAACTAATAACATTATGTTAATTATATAACAAAAATGTTTTTGAATAAATTAAATAATTATAGTTAAATTTTTTCAATTTACAGTAATGCATTTTAAAATTACACGATAATTTTATATGATTGTAAAATTTAATCTTTTTGTAACTTTAAGTAAATTTAATCTTAGTATAAATTAAAAAAAGCATATTCCGTCTCACAATTTGTAAAATTTTGCGAAACTTGCTTACTTTTTATTGTTTCTCTGTGATTTTAGAACTAATTCACGTTCAAAAAGATCGTAAATAGATTAACTAACTCCATTCATGGAATATAAGGCAGTTGAGTTGTCATGAATCATGAAAATACTAGGTGATTATATCATATTTTCCAGTCCTAGAATTCAAATTTACGTTATCGAAAGTACCCTTTGTTGTTACCAAAACATGGTGGAATCACCATGCGTAAAATCTAATTTTTGAATCGTTTTAACTTATTCTATTCGAAAAATTGCACATTTTGCAACAGTACAATTATAGAAGTCGTGCACTGCTTTGTATCACGTGGAAAGTCGAAACCCATGTGGAATAATACAATTAGGAGCTCCGCACAATAAAAAAAACAGGGAATAAAGAACGGAGAATAAGAATTTCAACCTATCAGAAACTATCAGAATTGTATTCCACAATACATGATTTCTGATAGGTTGAAACTCTTATTTTCTGTTTCTTTTATTATGCAAAGCCTCTTACAGACCTCATTTTGCTTCTGTGACAGATTTCCTTACCTCAATAGTCATCAATTTTAACGCTTAATTTCTCGGATCATAGGGCAGAGCGATGTATTTTTTGCTAGATTCTTTCGTTTTATGCAAAAACGCTTCGAATAAGCTTAAGAGTGCTTTCTTTCTCTCTCACAAGATTTTCCGATTTTAATGATTCATTCGATCATCCGCTCACATGTACGCGATGGAAAGACGCCGATTTCCCATAAGGCGTACTTTTCGAGATGCGTAGATTACGAAATTCAATATCGTAAATTCAAATTTAACATTTCTATTAGAGTGTACAACACAAATTCTAATCAGCAATTGGTCGCATTTTTCTAATCTTCTGCGAAATATGCCCAATGTGAATCCCTTTCAGAAACGTATTCTAGTAAATAAAATATAATATATTCTAGTAAAATCACTAGAATACACAGGTTATGCCTCATGTGATGGTATCCTTGTTAAGCCCATTCTACAATAAGTAGCAGTAATGGATAAAGGAGTAGAAATCAACCAATCATAGTTGAATGTGAGAAGAATAACCAACTATAATTAGTCGATTTCTACGCCTACTCTTTAATCCACTACTGCTACTGCCCATTGTAGAATGGGCTTTATAGATACTGTAATGGCTCTTATACAGAACACAGCAACGCTTGCCGCGCGGCAGAAATTGTCGCATTAACCAATAATTCTATTATATGTTCTTAAGTCGGCCTCACTATGCAAAACTTCTAGAGATGATATAATATTACTTCCGCCGCGCGGCAAAAGTTGGATGGAATTCAACTTTTGTCGCGCGGTGGAAATTATATATTTATTACTTCCAAGCAAGCGAGACGTTGATTACCTATCGTGCCAACTTTTGTCGCGTGGCAAGTGTTGCCACGTTCTGTGCAGGAGTCATAACCCAGGATCTACAATAGAGTTTTAAGCCTTAAACCATAAGATATAGATGAATCATAGTCGAGTATTCTTCTCAAATTCAACTGTAATTGGTAAAGGTAAATTTTCACGAGCTGCTCTAATCGGTTCTAACCGCTTGATATTTGTCAATTTTGATTATGTAATCCTTTTTATTACTAAAATTATTACTAAAATAGCCGGTTTAAGCAGATCGTAAAAATTTACCTTAAATCCGTATCCTCATATGAGTAACAATGCTTTGACATCGAATGCTGATTGGCAAAAAATGGGTGATGGAGGTAAATTTTACTCTCAACCGGCTTTTCATTAATTAGCACTCTGTATCAAAACACTGTTGTTTGTATGATCCAGGCTAATTCCGACGAGCATTAAATGGAATGCAGCCATATAAGAATATATTATGTGAAATTTCTTTTTGAATTAAATTTATACATTCTGTCATTTATGCATGATATTTATAATTAAACATGTTGAATTTTAAATTTCAAAATAAATAACACACAGTGATACAGGCAGAGATATATTGTTTCCTTGTTACAGATTAAAAAGGTTAAGTTCGATATTTCTTGACACTAGAAAACGAGTGTTTCAGCATCGCATAAAAATACATCTTTTAGTCCGGATCTACAAAAGCTGTTTCAAGCTTTAAGTAAGAAATTGACCAATTACAATCGAATGCGAGAAAATTAATTAATTGATTCGTCCATTCTTTATGATTTAAAATTTAAAAATTTATTATAGATCTGAACCTTAGAGTGCGTTTAGATTCTCCACACTGGTACTTTTCGCTAGACTTCGCTAAACAACAGTGCTTTGACACAGAGTGCTAATTGATAAAAAGCTATAGAGTTATAGGGTTAAAATTTACCTCCATCACCCGTTTTTCATCAACGTTCGGTGTCAAAGCGCTATTGCTCGTATGAGGATCTGGACTTACTCATCCTAGTGACCCACCTGGTAAGGAATCTGTACGCAGCCCAATGTGTAAATGCATTCTTAAGGTATATTCACAAGCGTCAAGCAGCAGAAGCAGCAATCAATCAGTTGAGCAATACGCAGTGTATAAAAAATATTTTTTTACGCCTCACTATAAAAGTCACCTTGTTGATTGGTTGTTGCTTCCGCTGCTTGAAGCTTGACGCTTGCATGTGAATGCACCTATGTATATAGTCTTCTTCCATCATTGAGTGCGTTCGGAAATGTTGCTCGGATGCCTCCAATGCCTTAGATTTATCATCTTACCCTTATTTAATATTTGTTAATGTTGCATCCGAGCAATATTTCCGAACGCAGTCATTGCATCATTTATCGATTGAGAAAGATTAAAACAAAGATATCATTAAGAGATATGTTTCCTATTTCGATCTAACTAAAGATTCAGCCTTAATGGATCGGGACAAAATATTTGATGGAAATACAAAGATGTTCCTAATGAAACAAATTCAGCCAAGTGATCGTAACAGGACTAATAATATTAATCGCCACATAATCGAATTAAGCGACAACGATTCCAAGATGGTACTACGGCGGCAGTTTGGAGAAATGGCAGGACGCGGGAATTCAAACACACAAAGCAACGCATTGGATTATGAAAATATGGAAATTTTACGAAAGCTACCACCGGACACAATCGTGATACGGCAAAAAATGAAATCGGACATAGAGGATAGCGATTACAAGGAATTAATAGAAATGAATAGTAATGATAGCAGCTCGATTTCTGGCTGTGCTGATGTTAAAAAAGGAATTTCACGAGCTGTTAGAAACAAAACGTGAGAAATATAATATCAAAAAGTTATATACTATTATATATAATTTATATATGAATATATATATTCATTATATATATGTAATAATTATATAATGTATGTATTAACTTTGGTGTGTGTGTGTGTGTGTGTGTGTGTGTGTGTGTGTGTACGCGCGCGCGCGCGCGGGTGTGCACCTGTGTATGTGCATGCAACATACGCGCGTGCCTGTGTTGTTATGTATATGTGTATACAGAAAACAAACATAACTTAATTAAACATTTTTATATATTATTTT